AGGTCACACCTACAGAAGAGGTTCTAAAAATTTTTGAAACCCACCACTGGGACAGAGGGTCTTCACGCAAGAGATCACCTGGCAGGGAGGGAGGCTTTGTACTGTTTGAGGTTATAATATTATAATAAGCTGTCCTTTCAAGTCAGTATAGATAGTAAATCAAATTTAGAAAGCTTTGACTGACAAAGAAAATTGTCTCTTTAAGTGAAGGATCAGATGAAAGAATACATCTACAGATGAGGCCCTGGGGGTCCGAGGAAGGGTCATATGTTGAGGTATAATGGACATGAGAGTGAGGAGTATGAATTCTGAAAACTATTTACTCTTGTCTTCATTTCTTTGCCTTAAAATATACAATTAAACAGCTTTTATCCCTTTTGCTTTTCTACTGTATGGGGATTTGCAATACAGGCTTGCTAACAGTTGCCAATACTTGATAGTATTGAGGAGGCCTGCTGTAGGAAGAGGGTAGTGGTGGGATTCAAATTTTTTTACTACCTGTTCTGTGGGCATGGCTTGGTGGTCGTGGCATCAGTGGTGGTGGGTTGCTCGCAGTTTGGCCCAGTTCAGCTGAACCAGTAGTAACAGCGGTGGGAGGCCCTGCCCACCTGACCAAATGCACGCGCGCGAGAGCCTGAACCTGTAGTAAAAATATTTGCAACCCATCGCATGGCTTGGTGGGCGTGGCTTGGTGGGCGTGGCAGGGGAAGGATACTGTAAAATCTCCATTCCCTCCCCACTCCAGGGGAAGGATACTGCAAAATCCTCATTTCCTCCCAATCACCTGGGACTCGGGAGGCAGAGAATATATCGGGGCCGGGGCCAGTGAGTGGTGATATTTACCAGTTCTCCAAACTATTCAAAGTTTCCGCTATTGGTTCTCCGGAGGTGGTCCGAACCTTCTAAATTGTAGCTCTGGAAGAGGGGGTGCCCAGGGTCCATGAAGCAAGGCAGAAGTAAACACCTTTCCTGTCAGAAACTACTTAGCCAGGATATTGGATGCTAGAATATCTTGCTTATAAGTAAACCCCAAACCACATAGCTAGAACAGGAAACAAGCTTTGCAAGACACCCATGACCTGAGGTAGCCAACAGGTGGTGTGACATTTAGCTATTTTGCATAGCAAGCTTAAAAGTTCTGGAGGGCTGTAATCCAGGTAATCAATCAATATTATATGTTATGCATGCATTATTAGGGGGAGGGCAAAGGGGTGTATATAATTCACTTTTGACTATAAAAATTGCTGTGAAACTGTAATCAGGGCCTCAGCAGCTTTCAAAGCCAGGGTCCTTATATCTTGGTACCAAAAAGAAAATTATATTCTTGTTTCACATCTAGTGTTTGGTGATCAATTGGCTTCGACACTAAACTAAGGCCCAGTTTTGGGGACAACATAAGGCCCTTGGAGGACAAACAATTGATACAAATTCAAAGTAAACCATTCCAAACTCAATTGCAGAAAATACTGACTTCAGCAACTGAGAGGTCAACGCCTGGAATAATCTACCTGACTGTTTTTGCATCTTCTAACCCTCACAGCTTCAACCTTAAACTGTCTACTGTGGACCTCACCCCATTCCTAAGAAGAAGGGGTGAAAGTGGCATGCGTAAGTGCATCAGCATGCCTACCGTCCCTGTCCTACTGTCCCCATTTACTTGTATTCATTTCCGTCATTCATGCCCATGTTTATATTTATACCTGCTATCTTGTACATTATTTATTTAGTTTATCACTCATGTACAAGATAACAGGAATAAGAATAAACATGAATAAGAACACAGGAAATGGGGACAAATAAATGGGGACAGTAAGACAGGGACCTTAGGCACTACTGAGCTCTTGGGGATGGGGTGAGGTCCAGTAGACAGTTTAAGGTTAAAGTTATGGGGGTTTGAGGATATAAAACAGAGTCAGGTAGTGCATTCCAGGCGTTGACCACTTTGTTGCTGAAGCCATATTTTCTGCAATCCAGTTTGGAGCAGTTTACCTTGAGTTTGTATCTATTGTGTGCTCGTGTATTATTGCGGTTGAGGCTGAAGTAGTCATTGACAGGTAGGAGGTTGTAGGCTTGTAGCAGATACTTTTGGGTACAAACTTTTATAATTTTGTGTTTGTTTGACAAACTCATAAATACAAATAGGTGAGGATTAAAAAAAAAATCTGTGCCAAACCACTGCTCGGAGCGCCCGCTCGGCCCGACTCTTTGCACCACGACTTCTTCCTTGCTTTTCCAAAACATTGGCAACGCCCCTCCCACCACATTTCCCCCCTCCCTTCCGCCCAGGCGTTCGTGGGGTTGGGGGCGGCGCCACCTGACTGTTGCGGAAGCAGGTACCGAAAGCTTTTTGCGGCATGGTGGACATTTTCCGGCCACGGCTGACTACAGGTGCGAGGACTCCGAGGGACCGCTACCCGCGTGGGGAAGCTACTGGGGCGCCGCGCCCGTAATGAGCTGCCCGTTAGCGTTTGGAGAGATCCAGCCTCCTCGTCTCCCGGGACTTTTCGAACGCTGCTGTGCCCAGAGTTCCAGAACCCACGGCTTTCATGCGTGGGCGTTCTAGAACTCCGGCCCGCGGACGTTCGGAGATGCCAGTAAGGCGAGCGGTCTTGTTGCCGCTGCTCGTGACCGGGGCCTTCCTCGCCGCGCTGCTGGAGCCGAGCCGGTGCCAGGAGCCTCAAACTCCGGATTGGAAGATGACATTGAAGACTATCAGAAACGGTGTTCATAAGATCGACACGTACATAAATGCCGCTCTGGATCTTCTGGGAGGAGAAGATGGACTCTGTCACTATAAATGCAGCGATGGTAATAATCATACTATATTAGAAGAAATGTATGTATGTTCGACTATTTGTTATAAAGCGTGTTTAATGAAGTTATTTTTTTTTCTGTTCAAAGGTATGTTAAGAGAATGTCATGAAAAATAAATAACAAAAACACTTGAATTGCTTTTGCTAAAGTCAGGAAAATCTCAGATTGCCAGCCAGCATCCTAATGGGAAAAAAAGGTTATAAATATTATATAGTTATTCAAATCAGACAGTCTTTAGGTTGCAGATGACAGATGTAAACATTAATGACGATAAACTGGAGATAGAACAGCATATTCCTATATTTGACTATTGCAGAAATAGTCGTAGTAAATTTAGTGGAACTTAATTCCAGGTAAATGGTTATAGGATTGAAGTCTCCTATTTGTACTTTCAAGGGATGCCTAAACTATTTGTTTAAAATACTAGCAATAACATTATTTTGGCTCCTTACAGCATACAATATAGCTATTGTTATAGCTTATCATGATCTTAAGCATATTCAGTTCATGTTATTGTGTGAAAATGTGAAGGATTATATTGCAGAGGAGATTTCTGCTCTGCAAAACGGATTAGAAAATTTGGAAATGGATGTGAAACATAATCCTTCCTTCTTTCAACAGTATTTAAAAGGTTAGGTTAACTCATTAAAACCCAGTTTCCACATATTTATTGCTTCAATTCTTTGAATTTACTGTGGTTTCACAACCTTAATCTTATTCGTAGGGGAGGTTTAGAGAAGTGGTTAGAGATAAATCTCTACATAGCAAGGCTAAAGTAAATTAATGGGACTTTATTAACATGCCCAGACTGAATAGATATTAAAAAAAAACAC